TAGGATCAAATCTGAATTATCATAGTAGATAAAGAAGTTGACTTTATATCTGAGAAACAAAGTAATATATAAATATAGGTAATGAAGAAGGACAATTGGCAACTGAAACTACTTACCATAGTAAGTAGGCATAAATCGAAGATTTACTGTTACTGGTACAAGGAGAGCATTTTTATAAGTTGTTTATTTGAGAGAAAGAACATGCAAATGTGCAAGCAGGGGGAGGGGCAGAGAGAGGAAGAGAGAGAATCCCAAGCAAGCTCTGGGCTGACAGCACAGAGCCCAGTGCAGGGCTTGATCCTACGAACCATGAGATCATGACCTGAACCAAAATCAAGAGTCTGCCACTTAACCAACTGAACCACCCAGACATCCCCTAAGGAAAGCATTTATAAAAATAATATAGTTTGTAGGGGAGGTTGCTACTCCCCACCCTCCCACCATTATGGTAACCATATAATTTATTTTCCAAATTGGAAGTTCTCTAACAGTGAAGGGACTTAAATCTGAAGGCATTCCAGAAGAATGGCTATATTTTTACCTGAATTTACAGCAAACTTGGATACGTGTTCAGTCTACTTAAGATCCATTCTCTACTTCTCTTAAGATAATAACATTTTAAAACTAAACTTATAGCCTCCCATAAAGGTTATTTTTTTCTAACCTTCCTTGAAGCCACATGTGGGAACACCACTGGTGGTGAACCATCTTCTATCATTTAAACAAGGGCAACAGCTAAGAATGGCAGAGATTGGAAGGAGCCTCATATTATGACATAATATCATGCCTAGTATTTTTAATTTTTATGGAACAGAGATATTAGAACATATTAATGTGCATAGCAGAATTTGTATTGCAAGGAATTTATAGTAAAAAATGTATATTTCATAATGCTGGAAATACTTATTTAATATACATTTCTTCAGATAAACGATTGAATTCTTTAGGTAACAACTCAGGGCTACATAATTACAAAGTATATGCCTGGGAATCCAGGCAATTACTAATATCTTAAGGAGTATACTAGTTTTATGAAAATTATGATGACCAAAGAATAACTAAATTTCTCTACCATCTATTCATCTATCAATCTATTTATCATCACCTATCTATATTCATGTAAGGCTAAAATGTTGTTTATAGAAAAATTGCATAATCACCCAACATTGACTAAATTATGCAAAATTAATGATTCAATGTGTATATCTATGTAGCTCATATACGCAAGTCTGCTTTAATTAATTCTTGACTATGCATTAAAAAGTAGAAAATCAGTGAAAAACTGTAAAGCATTAAAATATGTCTTGAAATGAAATTTATGTTTTTCTTGGTAGATTTATTTTCTCATGTTTTGATAAGGCTAATGCTAACTTACTTGCTAATTAAACTACTTTTGCTACAGAGGCCACTATGTTCCAGAAGCTAGTCATCATTTGCCTCTTTATTCTCAAAATCAGCCATCACACCTTATATTTTATGGTACCTTATAATTTATAAAATGTTTTATATCCATACATGATCCTGATAGTTTCATTATAAGTGATATATATGAATATTTATGCATGCAGTTTGAGTGAGAGGAATAAAATTACCTTCAATGCATGCAGAATTTCTTTTAAATTTAGTTCTACCAAAGAGCCAAAGAACCACTTTGATTGGTTTGACAAGCAAGTTTCAAGCTTTGACATGCACTTTATATATTTCTGCATAGAAATGACCTAAACACAGTGGTTTAAAATGGTATAAAAGGCCAGAGAGCAAATATCTTACACTGTATGGACCACATAAGGTTGCTTTTGCATATTGTTATTATCGTTGTTTATCTCTTAAAAATATAAAAATGACTGATTCTTAGGTTGAAGTCCCATACATAAAGAAGTCAAAAGCTGGATTTGGCCTGTGGTGGTGGTTTTCCAAACTTTGCTTAACACAATCATTTTATTTACCCTAATTCTGTGGATCAGAAATTTGGGCTGTGTTTTGCTAAGTGGTCTTCTGGTCTCACTGGGATCATGGCTTTGGTCAACAAAGAGCTTAGCTGGAGCTGTATGGTCTAAGACAGCCGGATTCACGTCTTAGTTTGCTGCTGATTGCATGCTGTGTTGTGGTCTCTCTCATCCTTCAGCATCGGGCTGGCCCCAGCTTCTTCAAATAATTAACTGAGGATTCTAAGATGATACTGGAAATGGCAAGTTAGAAAGCCAGCCCTGATTCAAAGGAATGGTAAATAAACATCACCAACAATGGGAGAGTATAAAACCACATTAAAGGTGCATGTATACACTGAGAAAGGTAATTATGGCAGCTATCTTTACAAGAAATATATCACATTATTTTAAGATTTAGAAACTTGATGTTTTTATGTCTAATGATAAGATTTGCTGTAAAGAAGTCATATGGCAAACTAACCTAGTATATCAATATATTAATTTGCAAAGAGATTTGACTGCCAAGAAGCCCAGAATGCTTGTACCAATCAAAAATATATTTTTTCTCTATAAACAACATGGAATGCCAATTTTTTCCTAAAGTTTGCTTCATAAGGAGGAAACTGGAGTGTGTTTGGCATGGGAAACATGAGATATTGTTAGAAGTAAATTTTTTAATGCTTATTATCATTGGGACAGATGCTCTGACCTGGGATTCTCAATATAGATGCCAGCTTCCCTAGCCTGTGTTATTGCCCACTGATAGCTAAGTGAGTTCTAAACACAAAAAACTTGTCTCCTTTATCAGTCAAGACACGCTGTAAAGATACAACAATCAAAACCTCATGATATGTGCATATGACAAAAAAAAAAAAAAAACCAACTAACAATGTTACAAAACAGTTGAGAAAAAAAAAAGTGTTCCATGAACACAGGGGAACTTGGTGTATGGATGTCATGGTTTAACAAATTTTGGGGAAAAGGACAGATTATTTAGGTGGTGAGAATGAGAAACTGGCTTAAATATGTAGAAAAATAAAGTTACCTGGAACTCAGATCTATATATAAATGAGTACTAGGTGGATCAAAGATCTCAGTGTGAAATGTAAAGTATAGTACTTATTCTAAAAATAAGAGAGACTATTTTTGTTACTATGATGTGATGAAGTATTGCCAAAGTCCCCAGTGAATGAAATGTATTTATTCGCATTTCTGTTCAGTGAAGGAAACAATACAGAATGCAAGAAGGTGAATTACAGGCTGGGAGAAGATGACTAATACTGAGAGATTAGAACCTAAGATAAACAGTAAACTCTGCCCATTAACAAGAAAAAGACCAGAAATTAGGTGAAAAAGATTCAAAGGAGATAAGTACTTATTAGAGGAATTAATGTGCTGGCTAAAGTGTTTATGAGGAGGTGTTCAACTTTACCAATAAGTAAATACAAATATTTAAAACATCAGTGTCACAGGGTAAATGTCCTGGTTTGCCTAGCATAATCTCTTTATGATTTATTTCTCTTTGCAGTTATCATTATCTCTTCTTAACTATTAAAATGCTCTGGTTTGCATAGATAAGATTATGTATTTTCTTACTAGCTATCATGTTATATGCATCAGACTGCACCAAGTTGTTGAAAAGACTAGAAAATTAAGAGCAGATTTATCTTGCCGAGGGGAGTGTTGGCTGGAAGAGCTACTATGGAAAGCTAACTACCAATCCTTACTGGAATTATAACTGTGTGTTTCCTCTGACACTGCAATCCCACTACTGATGCCCAAATGACACTCACTATTCATTACTGCAGGACTCTGTTAGTAGGAAATTGAGGGCACTTATGTATCCATGAACAGAAAAACTAAAAATGATTTGAAATGGAATAATGTGTAGAATTTAGCACTTGGAACTAGATAAACATCAAGCAAAAATATTCGACTATAATGTTGAATGAAAAGGTTGGAAAAATTATATTCATAGGTAAATATCATTTAAAAATAAGGGTACATACATATTAAAGACATATACCAAGCACAGTAGAAGCAATGGGAATAGGCAATGGGAACAAAAACCCATGGTGAAGAAAAACATGCAATGTAAATTGAGAAAGAGACCTTGTATAGATGATAATATTGTGGCATGAGATGAGGATACAGTTAACTCACTTCTGTCCCTTATATGATCATAATTTATGCACACAAAATGCATATATATATATGCCATTCATATATGTGAGTGTGTGCATGTTTATACTGTATAATATTATACTATGTATAATGGTATATTTATTTATCTCTTGCATAATGTAGCAATTGGCTTTTAGTTTTCATTTTCTCGATTCTATATCTTTGAAAAATAAGACTATATAAACAGCCATCTATTTATTTATTTTCCTTCAATTATTGGAAGTTTTTCCGTAGTCTATTTTTCCTTGCTTTGTTGGATGCAAGGAAGAGGCAAATAAAATTACTTTAAATATTTGTTTGAAACAATTCCAGATTTAAAGGACAAATATTAGTATGGATATATACAGTGAAATCAATGAATTACAGTGGGGCAATGATGATTAGTTACAAGAATAAACCACTTTTCAATTTATCTTTAGACAACCTAAAACAATGACTGATACCCCCAGCAATCACCCATATAGACTGATTGTCCAAATTTCAATTGGCTTGGTGATGTTTGTATTTGTGGAAACAAAGAACTTAAATAAAGAGAAGCAAAACTATACAAGTCAAAAATAAAGATAACTTACTGACACTCAAAAATTTATTTAACTCAAAAATCTGACAAAATATATAGAATATCTTAGATTTTTCTTATGTAATATAATAAAAGATATATACTTATATAAATAAAATATATTCATTAAAAGATGTCTCTCCTAATTTTTCTAACATTTACTGATGGTCAAGCACTGGCCTCTCAATTGCTTTTATATTTCATTACCCACATTTTATCCTCCTAACAGCTCCATGAGTTAATGTTTAGTATGGGTTCAACTGAAGTTAATGGTGATCCTACTTTCTAATTTAAGCAAAGAGGGATTTAATACAGGTATTGGTACTTACAAAACTCTGGAAAAGGCTGAAAGATCAGTCATTAACCTGGACTCCTAAGAATCACTTCCAGCAAAATACCATAAGACCAGCCCACTGAAGATTCCATCTGTTACAAACACAATCTGAGAAATCTGGTCACTGATTCTAGAATCACCCTACTTTTGTCAGTCCTGGAGTGAGGTAGCAACCAGAAGAATTGATGATTCTAGAATCTTACTGCTTTGGCTGGAGACTAGGAATCAGAAAACTGCTGTCCAATGATTGTCTTCTATTTGATCTACCTAAGGAAAAGAGAAACTTGAGGCTTAGCCTCTCTTCTCTAGTGATTTACTTCTGGAATCTAAGTCTCATGCAGATGGATCTCTTTAAAAATTTAAATCACATCCAGAGCCATAGTTGCAAGGAATCTGGGAAATGTAACTTTTTTAGTTTCCTGCCTAGAGAGACAGGACATTGATGGGTTGGAATGCATGTTGAGTAAGTCAAAGCAAGAATCAGACAGGGAGGAGTTAAGTCAGTTGTCAAGGCTACATATTTAATTAATGCTTTGCAATTTAAATACCGGTTCTAATTATAGATATTTTCACAAAGAATTATTTACTTTTCCTTCCTTCCTCTCTTTCTTCCTTCCTTTCTTTCTTCTTCTCTTCCTCCCCCCCTCCCTCCCTCCCTCCCTTCCTCCCTCCCTCCCTTCTTCCTTCCTTCCAGAGCTCAAGCAGGGGAGAAGGGCAGAGGGAGAGTGAGAGAGAACTCCAACCATGCTCCATACTAAGCACAGAACCTCACTCAGGGCTGGATCCCACAAACCATGAGATCATGACCTGAGCCAAAATCAAGAGTTGAATACTTAACCGACTGAGCCACCCAGGCACCCCAAGAATTATTTTCAATTGGAGAAAACCTCAATGCAAACTGCCAGTTTTTTAAGAGAGGGGAAAAGTTATAACAAATTATAAAAAATTGACAAGCAATTTGCTCCTCATATGTTACTACAAAGCTAATACACTCTCCCACTCTCTAAACTAGACAGCATCTGTAACATCCCAGGTTCTTAAAATGCTTCAATAAATACAGCAGTTATGTATAAATTACTTACATTTAAAAATATTTATAAGATGAGATGTTAGAAAATAATTTTAGTTGTGGACTACCTCACCATTCCTAGTCCAAAACCTCCAAGATAAATGTCTCACCACCCTCTGGGACTCTTCCTAAGAGAGCCCTCTGTAGTTTGGTGCCTCTAACTCCATTGTTTTCTCTACTCCCTCTAGTATTCTCTCCAAGTAATTTCAATGTGAACATCAAACTATAATTTATGATTTGGAAACTTGAATTGTGTCTTTTACTTAATAATTTATCAATGCAGCTATAAAAATTATTGAACTAAGAAGTGAGATATTTCTTTTTTTAACTTGTTGATAAAATTGATATTTTAGTTTGACTTTGGAAGTCAGTGTCATTTATTTTAGTTTAGAATTTAAACATAGCATAAAGTTGTACTTTTATTTTATATCAAGTAGTGATTGAAACCAAAATTCTCTTTCTATATCTCAATCTCTATCATATCCATATCTATGTCCATATTCATATATATTTTCACCATCACAATTTTTACTAATATCTTCAATTCACACCACACTTTGCTGTTTTAATGATATAATTGTTATTTTCCTCTTCTTACAAATTATGAGGTCTACCCATAAGATAGAATAATAGATGAAGCTATTGCAGAGCTTAACCAGTTTGTAGGGAGTTTAAAAATTGATCTAGTGCATAATATAACTGATTTTGAAACTTCTTGTTATAAGAGAAGTAAGTTTGTAACTATTTCAGAGATCTAATAGAGACAAAATATTTTGGTTTAAGATAAAAAGCTCACAAGCACTAGTTTCAAAGGGGCAAATTAAAGGGAAGGGAAATATACTTTGTTTAAGAAAAACTACAAAACATCACACTAATAAGTAATATTGTATCATACAACTTGTTTAATCTTGTTTCATACATCCAAAAAGATGAAAAAAGGAAACACAATAGGAAATGGATAAGATCAGGAACTCTTAGAGCAATGTAAGATTTCAATATTAGCGGCAAACACTTATCATTTAATAGAGTAAATGTAGCTTGTTTGTTTTTCCATTGATGAATAACTTACAGCATATCTAGATATTTGTAAAAAGCCTTAAGAAATATACTCATCATAATGGTGCTATCAGTTCCCCCTTCAACTTCATTCTAGAACAGCGTATCTTTTTTTTTTTTAATGTCTATTTATTTTTGAGAGAGAGAAAGGCAGAATGAGAGCAGGGTAGGGAAGAGAGAGAGAGACCCAGAATCTAAAGCAGGCTCCAGGCTCTGAGCTGTTAGCATAGAGCCTGACGTAGGGCTCGAGCCTACAGACCGTGAGATCATGACCTGTGACGGACATTTCGGTAGACTGAGCCACTCAGGCGCCCCTACAACAGCATATCTTAAAACACAATATGGTCAGGACCAGAATACATCTATTAACCTGTACACTATTTACTCTACTTATCATAATATATAAGTTGTTTTTCTAACTTAGGTGTTAATAGTCACAATACAGTCAATAATGTTTCATTTAAAATAATGTTCTACAAAAGAATATAATATATATTCACTTACAGTTTTGTCCTCATTCAAAGAGTGAAAAACCTCTTAAGCAGGTATGACTATGAGTAGTCTTGTAGTTTCCTGATGGGATGTCCTTTAGTTATGATATTGATCAAGTGTTGCTGATTCCTTTTTGTCCTGTGTTGTTCTTTTTTTTTTTTTTTTTTTTGCTGTGTGTGTAGTTTATTTGTATATTCACCTTAAAACAAGATTTTAATGTATAATTTGAAGTGCCAAGTAATCTGGTTTATGATTCAGTCTGAAAACAGTTGCGCGTGTTTAAAGGAACTCACATGTAGAGTCCCTGGAAGCAAGTCTGCATAAATCATCTTGTGATACAGTGATTAATACTGTTTGTGAAAAAGCTTAGATGTGTATATGTATTTATTTTTAAGGAGTTTTTTCTTTTACAGTAAAAATGGGTCACAGATTGCTGCTTTGAAGATATACTTCCATTGTATCGCTCTTGTTTTATCGACTAGTCCTTAATCCCGAGGCTTATAGCCAGGATAAGCACGCTTTAGGCATTTGTGAATGACATGGGCAACAACGGAGTGAGCTGAGTGAGGCCACAGGGCACATGGCTATAATTCTCTTCATGTTAATGATAGTAATGGAAGTCTGATACATAAGCAGTATGCATTCAAAACACCGACACCCGATAGCAGGTCAGGGAAAAGAGAACAGGGACTCCAGTTTAAGTTTAAGGGGGGGAAAAAACTGAGAAGTCATAACTAACCCCACAGATGTGAAGAAAACCGCAAAAGACACGGACCTGATTCTGCTGCAGAAAAGAAACGAATCACTCCCTGGGGGTGACACGCCAGCACTTTTAGCGCATTGTAGTCCTGCCTCTTTCAGGGCTTTCACTACAGTTTAATTTCATGGAAAAGTAGACATCTCCAAACAAAAGGAATGCCACTTATTAAAAGAAGGAGGCCTTATCAGTGTGGGACCTAATAAGGAAAAATATCTATCTGTGACCTGCACAGCTTTCACAAGCCATTATTTCCACTCAGTGTTTGGTACTGACTACAGCGCCGGTTACAGAGCTAACAAAATATAAGCCTGTCGAATGAACAAATCACAGGAGGAAAAAAGTGAGGCAGACAGTCATTTCTTGAGAGCTCAAATCCCATGACAGTGCTCCTTCCTGGCAGCCTGGCAAGGGTTTGGGCGACAAGAAGTTTAGCGTATGCCACGAATGCGCGTGGTCTTCTGCACAGTACGTTCATTTTCAAGAATGTCCCGCTGAAATGAGGTAAAATTCGGAGATCACCACCTCCACACTAGGAACTGCCAGCTTCCACTAGGTAAGTATCAAAAACTTTAACTGTTCGGCAGTTCACTGTTACACTAACCTAATTAACTGAAGGTTCCTTCTAAGAAGCTGAAAAGAAAAAAATGTGCGTAAGGAGTATTTCAAACATTCAGACAAATGAAATGATATCAGTGCAAACTAAAAACTGAACTAGAACAGAATGACAAAATAGAAACCTGATTCTTTTGGTGCACAGTAGTCAAAGGGGCTTGCTCACATTTGTTGAAATCGGATCTGAAACTGTGTACAGAAGAGTAGGTGAAGTGGTTTTCACTATGGTCCAGTGTGTCTGTCATTGAAGTTTCAGGCCTGCTTTGAGCTGATCGGGGCACGGGGGCTCAACAAAGCAGTCAGGTGGACTCACGGTCACTCCCACTGGAAGCCTCTATTTCAACGTACATGTCTGACCCCCGTGGGTCACAGGCCGGCACAACTGGACTGGCTGAAACTTTAGGACTTGCTCTCTACTTTTTCCTCTGGTACCGTTTCCCAGATTGGCTCCTTGATGTGCTCTGGTAATGTTCCAATTTTGTCTTTATAACCTCCATGACAATTCCTTCGGCTAAGTTTCGCTGAATATATTCCAGGTAGACATCCGCTGTACTTCCAGTTAGATGTTCTAACTCTAAACATCTGTAAAGTGTTCTCATTTCATACTGAACTCTGTGCGTCTTGAAAATATGCACGGATTTGAGAACAGTAAATCGTTCTATTTTCCTTGGAGGCTCATGTACTTTAATAGAGATACCAAGTTCTTTAGCAGCAAGCGCGGCAAAATATTCGTAACTGTCCAATACAGCCTTATCATGGCCTTTTACTAAAACTGACAGGCGCTTATATAATGTATCTGGTTCATCAGAAATGGTTATCGTAGGCTTGGTCAAATCCTTGGGAATATCAACGTGTAGGTTTGAAAACTGCACCCACTTCATACTGGTAAGGAGAAAGCCACCATTTCTGGCTGTACTGCTCTTAGAACTGCTTATAGAAAAACTCCTTGAACCCAGAGACACCGGCACATGGAGCCAAGCTCTGCTCGCGCCGCCATCTTGCCGTCCCTGTCCTGTGTTGTTCTTTACACATTTTGATTTGAGTTGCAATGTCTCTTTTACATGAATCATTATTTTCATCAGAAAGTCCCTACCATAAGTTTATGTGATATCTCTCTATTTATTTTTAAAAGAATGTTTATTAATCCATTGTTCTGATATATAAAGTGTCTGCTACAAATTATATGTCATACAATTAATAATTGCTTTTCTACGGGCACCCTCCTACACTGTTGGTGGGAATGTAAACTGGTACAGCCCCTCTGGAAAACAGTGTGGAGGTTCCTCAGGAAACTAACAATAGAACTCCCTTATGACCCAGCAATAGCACTGCTAGGCATTTACCCAAGGGATACAGAAATGCTGATGCATAGGAGCACATGTACCCCAATGTTCATAGCAGCACTCTCTACAATAGCTAAAACATGGAAAGAGCCTAAGTGTCCATCAACAGATGAATGGATCAAGAAGATGTGGTTTATCTATACCATGGAATACTACATGGCAATGAGAAACAATGAAATCTGGCCATGTGTAGCAACATGGATGGACCTTGAGGGTGTTATGCTGAGCGAAATAAGTCAGGCAGAGAAGGACAAATATCATATGTTTGCACGTATAGGAGGATTAGGAGGAACTTGACGGAGGAACAAGCGGGAGAAGGGCAGAAATGGTGGGGGAAAGGGAGAGAGGCAAACCATGAGAGACTCTTGAATGCTGACAAAAACTGAGGACTGATGGATGTGGGGGGGAGGGGGGGATGGGCATGGAGGAGGGCACTTTGGGGATGAGCACTGAGTGTTATGTAGAAACTAATTTGACAATAAACTATTTGTAAAAAAAAAAAAAATAAAAAATAATTGCTTTTCTACTGGTGAAGTACTGCACTTTGTGGGTTTGTTTCTCTGCCTTGGTTTTCCTGTTCCTGCATATACATTCCCCCTCCTGATTTTTTTGTGACCTGAATCTCCTCCATCTCCAGTGTGTTCTACTCTTAGGGTGAAATGAAAATAGATGGTCAGATTTCCTATAGGAAATGGATGGCTCATGTACATTTAGATAATTCAAAAAGAATTTATTCCCAAAATACTAATTATAAGTTTTGGGGGGAATACAAGAATAATGTAACAGCATTTTATTATCAGTACCCCTATGCATAAATTGTCAATGGGAGAGAGGAAACTAGAATCCAGAAAGGAAAAAAATCCTCATGATAGAGAACACCACCTTGAGAGGAGTCACACTGATGATGTGACCTTTATGTGAAGGACATTGACAGCTCAAGGCAATTTTACAAAGGGAGAGCCATGGTGATACAAACCTGATATTCCTCTCCTGTCCTCTCTCACCCACTCTCTCTCTCTTCTTACTCTCTCTCTGTATTTCTGTCTCTGTCTCTTTGTTTCTCTTCCTCACTTCCTTCCGGGACTCCCCAAAGACTGAATTTAACTCCAAACCAGGGTAAATGGTGATCTTATTGATGGAGTCCATAGGGATCAGCCTCCTGAAGAAATAGGGCAAGACAGAGAAGGAGGTGAAGTGAATCTGAAGGATCAAAGATACCTAGGACAGTCCACTTCTTTTCCTTTCAGTGCCCACTCTTGTCTTCTTTCTAAAGCTTGTCTCCACATTTGAAAGCATGAGGCCCAGTCAGCTACTTTATCGTAAAGGGGTGCCATTAATTAGTTCTTTCTCCTACCTAAAACCTAAGGTTTTAAGTACTCTTGTGTTCTCCATATAGTGGTAGAGGGAAAAAGAAAGAATGTTGTAGAAAGTAACTTTATACTAAGTAATATAAAAATATAGCTACTATAGTCCTTTTCTGTTATTAGCATTGAGGCCAAAGTTGACAATTATAACTGTTTTCCACCACTATTCAACATTTCTCTTACCCTCTGCCTCATGAGGGTAATGAGACTCTTTACCTGTGGATAAGCCAAACCATCATTTCTGCTGAAACAGTCCTAACTGGTCTTACTGGTCTACTGCATTCTTAGAGTTTTCTAAGAAGGAATGCTATTGGGCATAGGAGCACTAAAAGGCACCCAACGCAGTCTCATAAACATAGTTTTCATTGGCCCAGTTGAGTCAGAGCAATCCAATTTCCCCCTAGTCATCAGCATCAAGCACCCGGTACAGTACAGTGACCTTTTCTCTCCCTGTTGGTTCAGTGGCATAGGAGACTAAAATGGCCTGGGACTTGGGACTAAGTCCAGGGAAATAGTCTACTGTTGAGAAATGATGCCTCTAAATCCAGGGAACCAAAGGTCCTGTTGATAGAAGATAGATAAATTTTAGTAGTATATCACAGAAAAGGTCATTGCTTTGGAATCACAGATCGGTGCACCCTGCCAATGGAGACTTTGGCACAATATCTTGGCCGCTTTTTATGGTATATTTAGCAATCTATAGGATAGATAATGGCAGCACAGGGTTTAATCTCTCAGGAGTCATTTCAGTTGAGTCTTAACCATTCCCTATCAAGCATGTTGCTCCTAGGATATGTGACATATGGTAAGCCCACTCAATTCTATGGGCATGAGGTCTTAGCTATACTTCCTTTGTCATAAAATATGACCTTGACCTGTGAAGATTTTGTGCAGCATAACATTATAGTAAACAAGGAATTCTGTAAATCTACCAATGGGTGGTGCTTGCAGAAGCGCTGTAGTTCAAGAAGGCAAATCCACATCCACATTAGTGTCAATCCACAGGAAGATACAGAAAAGAGAAAACAAGGTATCTGGTACGAGATACTTTTCTTGAGAAGGGTTATTTCAACAAGGGTTTCAAGATATGTACATACTCCTTTAATTAAAAATATATGTCATACTAATTTCTATGTATATACTGGTTCTTTTATTTTTAGATTTTTATAGTAGTAACATTTTATTTAAAAATTAAGTGCTTTACAGAGAATACTAATTTTTAATTTTTCTAAGATAACTAAAAAAAAACCCTTCCACTTACTTTAGCCACATGAAAGAAAAAAATATTTTAACATCTAAAAAGAAGGAAAATCATAATCTAAGATAAAAGGTGAGTATTTAAAGAAATAATTTTAGCTTAATGAAAAACTTTCTATAGTGTCATTAGTTTTCTTATTTGTCTGTGAATATTTTTTTAAAGTTTATTTCTTTATTTTAAGAGAGTGAGAGAAAGAGCATGAGCAAGCATGAGCAGAGGAGGGGAAGAGAGAGAGAGGGAGAGAGCGAATCCGAAGCAGGCTCTGCACTATCAGTGGAGAGCCCAAAGCAGGGCTTGATCCCATGAACTGCAAGATATGACCGGAGCTGAAATCAAGAGTAGGACACTTAGCTGACTGAGTCGCCAGGTGCCCCATTTTTCTGTGAATATATTTGAAAATCATGGACCAACACCTGACTGAAGTATTAGAACCACTGATCTGTAGCATTATTTAAGATCATTATATTGTCCAAATTTCCCATCACAACTCCAACATGGCATAAGTTAAAACTAGTGAATTTCATGGGTGTGAGCTCATTGCTACACTTCCTTGTCACAAAATTGCCTTCCTAAGAACTAATACTTCAAGGATGTTACTGATTAACATTATACTTATAAATGCAGTATATGTTTGTTTTGAGTGATACAAGAGAAAAAGAGGAGAAGAATTATTCAAGGGTCACTAAGAACTGTTAAAGAATCTCAAATGTTATGACTACTGTTTCATATCAATCTAACTGTCAGATAATTGATAAATTCTAAAATCTCCATTTATCTGATGTATATACTAATGGTACAAGAATATAAACGAATACCAGACCACCATCACACCTTCCTCTAGCCTGTCAAGTTGCACAAAATTTAAAATGTTTGGACACACTATGAGAAATAAGTTTAATGGAAATATTCTTATTTCCCACTAACTTTATTCTGCTCTCAATACATTATATCAAGATACACTTTTTCATTTATATTCTTAAGGGGAGAACCATCAATTTACTTAATTTACATATGCAATACTATGCAAGGGGACAGGCGAGTCTATGGAGAGTTATAGTAATGAAATCAAGTTAAAGGAGTAATTTCTTGAATTCTAAAGTTATAACAAAGCTTGTATATATCTGCAAAGATTAGAATATTTATATTATGATGGATTTTTGTTTAGAAAATTCAAATACTCTATGACATAATAGAGGACTGGTGCATGTGAAACTGTGTTGCAGGTAAGAGATATAGCAGTATCCGATTAAAGTATGTCAAAATAACCTCTGCTTATGTGCCTTCAGAAAATAGCCATCTCATCTTTGAAATTAGCCTTACTTCCTTTAGGGTCTAGGCTAACTCTCATTCTTTTGATTCTTTGATCAAAAGCAATGAGAATCTGAAAAAAAAAATTCAATATCCTGTGCTAGAATTCTTCATGAGTTGGCATCAAAAGCTTAGTGTAGAGAGTATGAACTTTAGAGTTTGACAGATGTGGGTTTTAATCTTGCCTCTGCCACTCAGTAATTCCGGGGCCTCTGGCAAGTTACAGAAACTCACTGAAACTGCAATTTCTCATCTGTAAAATGAAAGCACAATATCAGCCCTGATGTCTGTCTCTAACGTTCACCAGCTGTGTGATTTTGGTCATGTTAACTCAACACTATGTGGCTCGTGTTTTTTATCTATAAAATTATGATAATGACAGTGCCTCTTTCCAGAGGCAGACCCACCAAGTGGCTAATAAAGAATCCTTCCAAGATCATGTACCTAATTATATATTCATAATTTTATATTATCTTTTAGCCTCTTATATTAAAATCTTCAGGTCCCAGAAAATCTGGATCTTCTTCTGCTCACTTCCTTGGGAAATTCTGATATTATTATTTTTCATAATTACTGTTATCTTTCATGGTTAGAAGGCATTATGGATTGTGTCTGGATCAAAATAGGTGCTCATGTAAATGTAAATTTAATAATTATATTAGCAGCATTATTATTGTTA